GCAGGGATGCTCTCTCTACCTGTGCAGGGATGCTGCACCTGTGCAGGGATGCTCCACACCTGTGCAGGGATGCTCTCTCTACCTGTGCAGGGATGTTGCACCTGTGCAGGGATGCTGTCTCTACCTGGGCAGGGATGCTCCACACCTGTGCAGGGATGCTCTCTCTACCTGTGCAGGGATGCTCCCCACCTGTGCAGGGATGCTCTCTCTACCTGTGCAGGGATGCTCTACCTGTGCAGGGATGCTCCACACCTGTGCAGGGATGCTCTCTCTACCTGTGCAGGGATGCTGTCTCTACCTGTGCAGGGATGCTGTCTCTACCTGTGCAGGGATGCTCCCCACCTGTGCAGGGATGCTGCACCTGTGCAGGGATGCTCCACACCTGTGCAGGGATGCTCCACACCTGTGCAGGGATGCTCCCCACCTGTGCAGGGATGCTGCACCTGTGCAGGGATGCTCCCCACCTGTGCAGGGATGCTGCACCTGTGCAGGGATGCTGTCTCTACCTGTGCAGGGATGCTGCACCTGTGCAGGGATGCTGTCTCTACCTGTGCAGGGATGCTCCCCACCTGTGCAGGGATGCTCCCCACCTGTGCAGGGATGCTCCCCACCTGTGCAGGGATGCTCCCCACCTGTGCAGGGATGCTGTCTCTACCTGTGCAGGGATGCTCCACACCTGTGCAGGGACGCTCGTGATCCTGCAACCGCCTGGTGCCCCTCTAGGCACAGCCCAGGCCATGGGTGCAGCCAGCTCTGCCCAAAATCCTGGGAAAAGCTTCCTCAGTCCCTGTGGGACTCATCCCGGACTCCAGACCCTGCTCCAGCCCCAGGAGAGGCAGCAACACCATCTCACCATTCCCAGCCCCAAATGCCAGGGAGGCTGGCACTCCAACATCTCAACCTCTGCTCCACACCACAACCCGAATCTCTTACTCAGAGATTTCCAGAATTCAGGTGGACACAAACTCCTGGAGCAAGAGAAGGACCCCGCTCACCTCCCCTGCTGACCTCTCCAGCCAGGAAAAGCACATCCCCATGGGTGGCTACACAAGGAGCCACGGGCAGACTCCTCCACAAAGATGGAGAAAGGCTCTGCAGGACCCCCCCAGCACCACCAGGGCAAGACAAACAGCCAGGACTGCAGCCCACCCACCCCCAGTGCACACAGGGCTCGGGGACATCCCCCGGGCCCATCCCAAAGGAGTCCAGGGCTTGGGGACATCTCCCAAATGAGACCAGGGCTCAGGGAATCTCCCAAACCCATCCCAAACAAGTCCAAGGCTCAGGAGCATCTCCCAGCCTCATCCCAAATGAGTCCAGGGCTCAGGAACATCTCCCAGATCTATCCCAAAGGAACTCAGGGCTCAGGAGCATCTCCCAAAGAATTGCAGGGCTCAGGAACATCTCTCAGACCCATCCCAAAGGAACTCACGGTTTAGGGAACAGCTCCCAGATCTATCCCAAAGGTATCCAGGGCCCAGGGAACATCTCCCAGACCCATCCCAAAGGAGCCCAGGGCTCAGGAACATCTCCCAGACCCCTCCCAAATGAGTCCAGGGCCCAGGGAACATCTCCCAGACCCCTCCCAAAGGAGACCAGGGCTCAGGAACATCTCCCAGGCTCCTCCCAAAGGAACGCAGGGCTCAGGAGCATCTCCCAGGCCCCTCCCAAATGAGTCCAGGACTCAGGAACATTCCCCAGGCCCATCCCAAAGGAGTCCAAGGCTCAGGAACATCTCCCAGACCCATCCCAAAGGTATCCAGGGCCCAGGGAACATCTCCCAGACCCCTTCTAAAGGAGTCCAAGGCTCAGGAACATCTCCCAGACCCCTCCCAAAGGAGTCCAAGGCTCAGGAACATCTCCCAGGCCCCTCCCAAAGGATCCCAAGGCTCAGGAACATCTCCCAGACCCCTCCCAAAGGAGCCCAAGGCTCAGGAACATCTCCCAGACCCCTCCCAAAGGAGACCAGGGCTCAGGAACATCTCCCAGACCCCTCCCAAAGGAGTCCAAGGCCCAGCCCGTCCCCACAGCAGCCCCACCTCCGTGGCTGGGCACTGCCATGCTGTTGGCCAGCTGGTAGAGGCGCTGCTGCTGCTGCTGCTGCTCCTCGAAGGCGCCGTGCTCGTTGAGGGCCGACATCATGCGCCGGTAGTGCTCCTCAGGGGTCATGGGCGCCACCTCCTCCAGCAGCGGCGTCTGCGACGTCTCTGCGGCGCGGACACAGAGCCAGAGTTCAACAGCAGAGAAATCCATCCCACCGAGCTGAAACGTGCCACCTTCAGCTTCTAAATACGCCGTTTAATCTAGTAACTGCGAGCCTAACGAAACTACCCCAGCTAAAGAAAGAAAATGCAGATTTCCACACTAAAAAATAAAAGATAAGAAAGACTCCTCAAACCTTAAAAGCCTTAAAACAAACAAGACAAAATGACCCAAGAGTTCTTTCTGTACTTTCTAATAAAAACTAAGTACAAGTGTAACTAGCTGTAAGTATAAGAGAAAATCACCAAAATTAATATGCATTAACCTATTATAAAATTCTATGCATCTAAAAATTAATATAAAAAGACCAAAAGTTCTCAGAAGTATGCATGTCCATCAAAGAGCAATGAGTCCCGACATGCATCCACAGCGCTACAAATAAACATACCCATTCCCTACAAATCTTTATTAAAATTATAGAATTTAGTTTTTCATCCGCATTTCAACGCGCCCCGTTGCCATAAAGCAGCTGTGTGGGTATTCCAGCTCAGCCAGAGGGAAAGGAGAAAGATTCCTGCCAGGCCAAGCCTGGGAAGAGGTCCCAGGGATGTAAACTATCTACTATCTCTCTTCACATTGTTTACAGATGTTCTAGCACCGTGTGCTACTCATGCTGCACCAACGGTGTGAAATGGCTTTACTTTAAGAGCAATGAAATTAATCTTCACGATGTTATCTATAAAAGAGCGATGAATTTTGAATGAACGTTCACTCTTTGCCTTCTGAACTTGGGGTCTCGTTATTCCCTGCCTCAACAGCCACACGTGGGCCTCAGGAACAGAAAAGCTGGGAGAAGGTTTTTATGGAAGGGTTCAGGTGGGATGTATAGGGAGAAGGTTTTTATGGAAGGGTTCAGGTTGGATGTATAGGGAGAAGGTTTTTATGGAAGGGTTCAGGTGGGATGTATAGGGAGAAGGTTTTTATGGAAGGGTTCAGGTGGGATGT